TTGATCACTGAGGAAGGCTTTCTTATCTCTCCTTGCTATTCTTTGGAACTCTGCATTCAAATGAGCATATCTTTCCTTTTCTCCTTTGCTTTTCGCTTCTCTTCTTTTCACAGCTATTTTTAAGGCCTCCTCGGACAATCATTTTGCTTTTTTGCATTTCTTTTCCATGGGGATGGTCTTGATCCCTGTCTCCTGTACAGTGTCGCAAACCTCTGTCCATAGTTCATCAGGCGCTCTATCAGATCTAGTCCCTTAAATCTATTTCTCACTTCCATTGTAGAGTCATAAGGGATTTGATTTAGGTCATACCTGAATGATCTAGTGGTTTTCCCTACTTTCTTCAATTTAAGTCTGAATTTGGCAATGAGGAGTTCATGATCTGAGCCACAGTCAGCTCCCAGTCTTGTTTTTGCTGACTGTATAGAGCTTCTCCATCTTTGGCTGCAAAGAATATATAATCAGTCTGATTTCGGTGTTGACTTTCTGGTGATGCCCATGTGTAGAGTCTTCTCTTGTGTTGTTGGAAGAGGGTGTTTGCTATGACCAATGCGTTCTCTTGGCAAAACTCCATTAACCTTTGCCCTGCTTCATTCTGTACTCCAAGGCCAAATTTGCCAATTACTCCAGGTGTTTGTTGAGTTCCTACTTTTGCATTCCAGTCCCCTATAATGAGAAGATGAGCTATTGGTTGAAAGCTTAACCAATCCCAATTGTATTCTTAACAAGAAAGCTTTAGAAACTCTTTAGATGTGGGGAGTGGAGTACAGGACGGTGGATAAGGGTATGAGTGAGATCGTCTGTAAGTACCTTCCAGATGTTGTATTTGGTGAAAAGCCACTGCACTACTTGAGAAAGGAAGAGAGTTAAAGTGGTCAGTGACCGACACAAGCCTGCTAGTGATGCTCAGAGCAAGCTGGCTGAGGGTGGCGTGAGTGGCTGGAAGTGGGTGAAGGAATAGATGTGATGCAGCAAGAGATGGCCAGGGTATTGGTCACGGAAGTGACCGTAGGACCACACGGGTGCAGACAGAAGTGTTCTGGCAGAAAGGGATGAATGACTTGCCAAGTCAAGACTTGCCAAACAAGTTTGTTTAACCCAAGTTGAAGAATCCCTTTACTTAAAACTCTGGAGTAGGAAGATAGGAAAATTAGCTGTTGAGAAGTTTATCACTCATTTTGGCCTTCATCAAAAAATTGTCTTGCTGCTTCCTTCAGTTCAGTCACTCAGTCATGTCTGACTCTTTGCAATCCCATGAACTGCAGCACACCAGGCTTCCCTGTCCTTCACCAACTCCCAGAGCTTGCTCAAACTCATGTCCATTGAGTTGGTGATGCCATTCAATCATCTCATTGTCTGTCTTCCCCTTCTCCTGCCCCCAATCTTTCCCAGCATCAGGGTCTTTTCCAGTGAGTCAGTTCTTCGCATCAGGTGGCCAAAGTGTTGGAGCTTTTAGGACTGATTTCCTTTAGGATTGACTAGTTTGATCTCCTTGTGGTCCAAGGGACCCTCAAGAGTCTTCTCCAACATCACAGTTCAAAAGCATCAATTCTTGGACACTCAGGTTTCTTTACGGTCCAACTCTCACATCCATACATAGATTCTTAGAGTCATTCTGATCATCATATCAAGCCTCTCAAATAATTTGACATCCTTATATGCAGAAAATCCATTAAATTAATTGGAAAAGTAAAACTGCCCTATGAAAAGTTCTTTTGATTCTAATCCCTGTGAAAATGCTTCCCGTTAAAGTTGTTCTAGTCTTCAGCTACAGAGCGAAGAACAACTAGGATGCAGTGGCTTCCACTCTACTCCCCTCTCCTCCTCCTCCACAGCCTTGGGCACTAATACAACATCACTGTTTTGTTTGCTTGCCTCCGCAACAATTCTCCTCCCTTTTCTTAAAATCCTCCATGCCAGGAGGACAATGCAGAGCTTTCTTTCTCGCAGTAGATGCTAATTGTGTTCTTAGTTGGGATCTTGCTGTCATAGCCACGATCACTGTGCCATTATGCTGTGTGGCTGGGGCACAGAAGTCATTGTGCAGGGTAATGAATGCTATTTAGTTGTGATACGTTGTCGCCTGCATCTGTGGGTGAGAACACGCAGTCACTGTAATCTGGTGAGTGATCAGACTGGTGTGACATAACATCATCTGTTAAGCAAGTGAGCAGTCACAAAGAGCAGTTGGGTGTTTCTTTTTTCTTTAATATAGAATTGTTAATGAGAAACTTTGGAGGTATGAGACAAACTACATAGTGGGTGTTGCATCTTAACTGCTATTTCTCAGTGTATCTGGGCCTCAGTTTACATATCTGGTGGTTTAGGGCAGGGAATACCAGCTCTGCACATCTCTGCTCTGGGCAGGTTGGGAAGGACTCCTTAACCCCGAGAGAATTGCATGTTGGATAAGGGTCATGACTGGTGTCAACCAGGAACGTGGCTTCCTGGCAGAGTTCAGTTCTTGAAAAGTGTGAATTCTGAAAACAGAATCGCTGAATGCAAATTCCTCAGCTAGTTCTTTCTTCTACATAGGGAACAGGTACTTCTGTAATTGTTCAAATGGGATGTGCTGTTTCTCAAGAATTCTTGCTGAAGTAACGGGAAGCATTTTGCTCTTGTAAATAACCTTAGTGATATTTTGCAAGGACCTCACTAGCCCCGGGATTGAAGCTCATTAACTTTCTTGCCTGCCCACAGCTTCTTCCTTTCCACCCTGCTGCCCCCTATTTTTGAACACTTTTCAGCTATTTGCTCATTAGTAGTGTTGTGGGGAGTGCATTTCAGAGCAGTCGTTTTTATTCATGTTTCTTCAAGTTTTGTCAAATTTCCAGCAAATATAACCAAGTTACTGCTCAAAGTGAAATCTAAGTTATATTTTTAATCTAATTTTTTCTTCCCTCCTATCCTGCTTTTATATATAGTGAATATCCACTTAGTATACATCTAAGGGATTGCTTTTTAGAAAAGTGTTTTTTGACTAGCACAGTACTCCATGAAGAGAGAGGGAGTGATTTTAGATGTGACTTAAGTTTTTTTTTTTTTTTTTACAATTTAGTGTTTTTATGACCCTGAGGTCCTGGGAATTTTGGAGGAGGGAAATATGTTAATTAGGAAATGTGAGATAATGTACAGTTAGATCACCTGCCCATGCAGGTACATTTCTTTTTGTTCCTTGTTTGTTTCTTCAGTCGCTAAGTTGTGTCCGACTCTTCTCGACCCCATGGACTGTAGCCCGCCCGGCTTCTTTGTCCATGAGGTTTCCCAGGCAAGAATACTGGAGTGGGTTGCCATTTCCTTTCTTCCTTATTTTATAGTATTAAATTAATAATATGTGTAATCCTACCTTTAAAAGTTACGTAAATAACACATTCAGTGCAGAAAATTTGGAAAATATTTTTTTATGAAGAAAAAAATCCAACAGATTATCAGTTATCTCTATGCCTGCTATCTAAAATATCAGTAAGTTTTGGTGTATATACACCCTTGTGTTATTTTTATAGATCATTTTTCCATAAAATTTGTTTTGGCCTCAAGCCCATTCAGAAATGTGGTAGTCCTTTTAAGTTTCTTCAATAATCCATGAACAAGTTTTCATAAAAATATTTTGATCAACATTTGTTAATAAATGGATTGAAAATAAACCTTAGAAAAAAAATAGGACCATTAACAGTTAATATTAAAAGAACTTTCTGTAATTATAAATTGCTTTGAGTTTTTCTTTTGACCTTAACATTTTATATTATTAAAACATTTCAGGTTTTGTGCAGAAATAGAAAAACAGAAAACATTCATAATGAGGAAATTAAAGACAAACTTTCATTGTTATTTAGACATACTGACTGTAATCAAGGTGCTTCTGATTGATTTGTTCCTAATGGTGGTGGAAATAGGACCCTTATTCACAAATAGCCCATTTTTACATGGTTTTCCCTAAGATGGATGAGAGTCAGCTAAGAGTGGAAAGTTGCTTTGTCTCTTCCTATTTTTTAACCCCTCCCCTTCCTCCCTCTGACCAGCCCATGTTTGCCTCTGCAAAGCTAACTGCTGCTGTTTGTTTTCTGCTTCTGTGACAGTCAGCCGATGGCGAAGTCTCTTCCCTTCAAATGTCTCACTGGCTTTTCCTTATAGTCCTGTGGCGAGACTCAGCCCTTATAGCAATGGCATTAATACTCCCAGCTTCTCTAAAACCTCAAATAAAGCAATACTAACACCTGAAAAAACAGGTAATATTTCAACTTCTTGATTAGCTGCTTACTTTGTGAATCGGTCACCAAACACGGCTTAAAAAATAATCCACCTTTCGTTGAAAAGCTTGAGGGTAATCTTTATCACGATGGAGAGTTTGCTGCACACCTACTTTGGATACGATAAAGGCTAGCATTAATTTATACTTAAATATCATTAACCTGCTCTTCATTGTGTATAGCAGGCAGCTTTCCCTCCTTACCAAATGTATATACTACATATATGTATTTCCAAATGTGCTTTTAAAATTAAATGTCAAACAAAATAGAGGTATTTTCATTATGGTTGAAGATTATAAGACTTTTACATCTTGTTTAAAAACTTTTTGATAGCTTTTTAAGTCAGGGTTATATAGAAAGAATAGTCATAGTAGCTTTTTATGTGATGGCCGTCTCAACATTTCCTTCATTGTTTGAGCACTGGTGTGATTCCATTCTTATAATTTTCTCTCTTGGGTCCTTTCTTCCCTGGTTGTTGTATCTCAAGTCACTACTTACTTTCATGAGTGACTCCTGGTCTCCTGTGATGACTCTGTCATCATAGATGGAGTGATAAAGATTTATGAAGGTTTTGTATGTGCTTTTGTGTGGACGTGTGCCTTTTGTGTGTGATATTCTTATCCATGTATGGCACTGCTGTTTGCACCTGTTTAAAAAATGTACCAGATTAAAATTTATTGTAAAATATATATCCATTATTACCAGTGACAAGCATGTCTGATTATTAACTGGAAGTGTACAGCATGTGCATCTTAATGCCTGTAGGTATATACTTAAGCTAATGGGATGCAGATTTAGCATTATTGATTTTTCTTGTCTTATGGTGGTAAAAAAAAAAAAAACACATAACATGAAATCCACTGAAATCTACCTTCTTGACAGTTTATTTGTGGTGTACAGCAGAGAGTGGTTTTTTGAACTATGAAAACTCAATTTGGAAAAACAGAAAATGAGTGGTTTTGTGTATATGAATTACAAACATGTGAAAACATGCATATTGTCTGGCCATTGTCTTGTCATAGTGGTGTGCTGGTCATTTTTTTGGTGACTTATGAAAACAGGAAAAATACAGAGGAGTCTTTTTTGTTTTTTTTTTTAATATCCGTCAGCCACTCTATGTCCTTTGATTGGAGAATGCCTTGATTTGCTGAGTGTTGACGTGTGAACTGTGAAGCACATACAGATATCAGTTCATCAGAGTTAATAACGAACATGTTTCCTTGTTTTCAGGTCACACACCCAGGGGCTCCCCTCTCAGTCCCCAGTCGTCCATAGACAGCGAGCTGAGTACTTCCGAGCTGGAAGACGATTCTATCTCCATGGGATACAAGTTACAGGACCTCACAGATGTTCAGATCATGGCTCGTCTGCAAGAAGAAAGTATGTTCTTCTTTTTAAACTAGAAAATGCGATAAACTAGAGGCTTCTACTTGAAATCTAAGATTTCAGGCATTTCTCCCCCAGGTAATGGGCAAACAGTTCTATTCTTTCTCTTATACCATCCTACTCTGGAGGTGGAGCAATTAAGTGCTTCTCAGTCTCATGACCATTGTGTAAAGTATTAAGATATACTCCAGCCAAAATACGTGGATGTAAAAACATTGCCAGTATAGCCACTGTGGAAACAATTTGCCAGTTTCTTAGAGAAACTTCCATTTCTATAAGGCCCAGCACATCGTATTCTTGGGCATTTATCCTAGAGTGATGGAAACTTGTGTCCAAAAACACAAAAACATGTACATGAATGTTCATAGCAGCTTTATTTATAATAATAGCTAAAAACCAGAATGATCTCTAATGCCCTTCAGTAATAAACTGTCAGTCAAGCTGGGGTACCTCCATACTGTGGAGTACTACTCAGCAAGAAAAAAGAAGGGATTTTGATAGACATTGCATCTTGGGTGTATCTCCAGGGAATTATGCTGCATGAGAAAGATGCCCCAGGTTGCATATTGTATAATTCCCTTTAGATAACATTTTAGAAATGGATGGCATAGTAGTGGCTATTGGGCTCAGGGACTTGGTGTGGGCTCTCAGGAGGGAGGTGGGCATGGTTATAAGAGGGCAGCATGAGGGATTTGGGGAGCTGTAGCATTTTTGACTGTGGTGGTAGGTATACCAGTCTACAGGTGATCAAATTGTTTAGAATGTAATACTAACACTTGTACATATATATATAAATAATACTGGGAAAAATCTAAATCAGATGGTTTGTATAACTGCCAGTATTTTAGTTGTCCTTTTATTCTATGATTTTGCACAATGATGCCAGAAAGGGAAAGTGGGCAAAGTGCACACACACAAAAATCTCTATTATTCCCAAGAACTGCATGTGAGTGTGCAGTTATCTTAATAAAAATTCAACTAAAAATGCCTTCTCAGATGCAAACTTTTATATATAGAGAGAGTGGATAAACAACAAGGCCCTGCTGTATAGCAGAGGGAACTATCCAGTATCCTGAGACGAACCATAATGGAAAAGAATATGGAAAAGAATGTATTTATGCATGTATAACTGAATCACTTTGCCATGCAGCAGACATTAACAAAACATTGAAAGTTAGCTATATTTTAATAAAAAACATACACTTCTCAAAATAGGTAATTATGGAAGAGGAGATAATTAGAAATGGGACAGTTTAGGGGATAATTGGAAATGGTTGTACAATAAAGTTACAGCAAGTAATCTGAGAGTGAACGACTTCCATGGTATTAATGGTATCAAAAAGCGAAAGAAGATGTAGATCACAGAACTGGACTAAGCTTATTTTGGAGTTAGCTTCTCCAGCCAACATAAATAGAAATAGCCAAGTATCATTTGAGCAAAACAGTTTCCTGCATTTAGAATTGGGCAAGGCTACTATGAGAAACACCGTATTGCTTATGCAGGATTAAATAAGATAACATTTTGAGAGGAAAAGTGATTTTTTATATTTTGTAACAGTAAACTGACAGTAACTCTTTCTAAAAAATAGGTAGCTGAGAAATGTGATGTCAGCCTCAGAAATTAAGTAGTCAGGCACAGACCACTTTAAAAAAAGTTGTGAGTTGACAATGGGATAAATAAGTAGAGACTTCAGGTTGACTATTTTTAGATGACTGTCATTGAAGATGACCCCAAACTACTGAAATTTTGAAGTGTCAGCATGCTTTGAAAAAGGTAACATTAGTAACAAAAAGAACAAGAAAAGTGACCTTGTTAAGAAAATATTGTGCCTTAGGTTTTGAACTTTCCTTTGACTTTGAAAGCTGGGGTGGGGAGCAGGAGGACCTACCTGGGCAGAGAGTTGATTCTTTGAATTGTCTAACTCACAGTTAATGTTCCTAATGATGATGAATAGTTTTTCCTAAGCAGCCTTCCTAAGCATCTCTCCAGATTTCATCAGGAATTGCTTGGGGATATTGACAAACACTGATTGATGACCTGGAGCCATGTATTTAATCATCCCTGGAATTAGGGCAGTTTTTTTTTTCTCTTCCCCCTAAAACAGGATAGTCTAGTATGAGCTGTCTGTTTGGTAAGTAAATGTGTCTGTCTTCTTGGGATTTAATAAACTAAGAACAAGACAGTGGGTCTCCATTTGAATCGTGCTTGGTGTGAATTTTCCTGCACTATTTGATTGCAGGAAACTGAAATGCCTCCTAAGGTAATAGTATTTCCTGTTGTTCTTACAGGTCTCAGGCAAGATTATGCTTCTACTTCAGCATCCGTGTCGAGACACAGTTCCACTGTGTCACTGAGTTCAGGAAAAAAAGGGACATGTAGTGATCAAGAATATGATCGATTCAGCCTGGAGGACGAGGAGGAATTTGATCATCTGCCACCACCTCAGCCCCGTCTTCCAAGATGTTCCCCTTTCCAAAGAGGAATACCCCATTCACAGACTTTCTCCAGCATTCGGGAGTGTAGGAGGAGCCCCAGTTCCCAGTATTTTCCTTCGAATAATTACCAGCAGCAACAGTATTATTCACCTCAAGTCCAGACTCCAGATCAGCAGCCAAATAGGACCAATGGAGGAGGTAGGTTGTATTCTGCTTTGGTATCTGGTATGCTTAGATCTTTCGTGTGTGGCCAAGAAATGGGTTTTAAGGTCAGTATAAATAATGGATAAATGTTTCTGAGATGAACTTAAGTACAGCCTCAAGACCTTACCAGTTCAGTTGGTGTACACTTAAGTCTCTAATTGATCAGCTTCTGATTACGTGTCCGAGACTTAGAGATTTACAGCTTCAAGAAAACCTCTGTGATGTAACAGATGGAGTCAGAAATGGGAAGCACCTTTATGTTGCGCCTGGTACAAGTGTAGTGCGGCAGAGTTACGGGAGTTGAGGGGCTCAGGGAGAGCTTCAGAGAGCTGGAGGCACAGGGCTGCACCCCCCATTGTCTTTCTCAAAACCCCGCATCTCTCCCCGCCTGCCTCTGGTTCAGAGCGATGGGTGGTGAGCCTCGACGACGGGGCTTGGCGAGGATGCTGCTGGTACATGTGGAGACCTGGGGGAAGTTGGGGTGTGTCTTTCCCCTGACTTCTCGACATCGTGAGTTAAGGTCTGCACGGCAGTGCGCATGTGGAGGCTGAGGTTGTGTGTGGTAACAGCAAGGCGATGTGTCCTGATGTCAACACAGACGGTGGGAATATATGTTATTCTCTTTTGTATTTTTTTTCCTAAATCCCTCTTCATCATTTATCTTCCTTCCCCACTCCCAGGAGTTATAGATCATGACTTCCAAGAACTATATGGGGAATAATCATGTGATATTTTAGCCTGGTATGTTTTTACGATAATGATCAGTCTGACCCTCACACACAAATCCTGTAGCGTATGGAAAGACAAACCATATTTATAAACTAATATTTTTGAATTATTGTGTAGCACCATTTCTCACACCTGGGCCCAGAAATGATCATTTAAGCAAGTTATTTAAAAATATAGCAAGGGCAGATACAAATTGTGCTAGTCATCACCTGCTAGCATGTACTAAGTTTTTACTTTCTCTTCCTCTGTAGTTGTAATTATTCATGCTAATTGAGAGATCATTTGAATATATTTAAGGTTTAATAGTTAGCACTTATCTCTGCTTAATACTTGCAGATTTCAAATCTAAAAGAAAACAGTGGCAGGTGAAGTGACTGCCACTGATGACCAATTTATTAAAGCTCATAATGTCAAAGACAGTAACTACCGAATCATTAAAACTGCAGGAGCAAGCACCCAGAGATGTTCCCATGAAGGTTTTTTTTTTTTTGTCACATCCTGCCTGTCCAGCAGATGCGCCCTCTGCATTTAGATTAGTATTGTCAGTGGGATCATTGTTCCCCCTTAGAAAAGTGGTGTTAACTTACATTCAACACCATTATGAAAAGGATTAGGTAAACCTGTGTTACGATGGTTCCTATTAGGAAAATGGAAACATATCTCAGCCTCGTGCCTGAATGTAGTAGTTTTATTTCTCTCAAAGGGCTGGTCTCCACATGCAAAGGAAATGGAAGATAACAGCAGTTCTCTGGATTGAACTTCTGGCTAATCACCTTCATGGCTGAGCACACAGCTCTGAAGGCTGGTAGATGCCGAGTTGCCAGCCTGGCTTACCACTTACACCTTTCCCCGTCTTCCTATGTCTCTGAGTTTTCATTCAAAATGCAGACAAGTAACATCCCTTTCTTAGAAAACTCAGATATAATTGGACATCAAGTCATCTGGTATACATTCTCCTTCCTTTAACATGTAATCTTTTAACCTAAGTTTGTTATAAGGAATCAAATGAAATGATGACTGTTTCGCCGGAAACAAAAATTGCTGAAAAAGTTTAAAGTGCCAAAAAGTAAAAGTTGTATCCTAATCTCCACTTTTTTTTTTGACTTTTACTAATATGGCTCAGATATCTGAACCTTCATTTGTTACCACAGTATTATTTAAACAAAATTGTAGAATGAGTTGTAACTTGAAAACTAATCTATCAATTATTTTTCTAAATTATTAAAATAATATAGATGGAAGAAAATAATTGTTATATTACTGATCTAATTTAATTAAAAATAAAACAGAAATGTGTGTTAATACTTAACTATTTCCATAGCTCGTACACTGCCTGGGCTCAAAAGGGAGGGCTCTTCAAAGTCCTCGGAATATTTCTGGGGCTCCTGGGATTAAAAGGAGCACGCAGTCGTCCCTCCTTACCTGTGACTTCGGTTACCCATGGTCTTCTGCAGTCTGAAAATGTTAAGTGGAAAATTCCAGAAATACACAGTTGTAAGTTTTAAAGTGGGCGTTGTCCTGAGTACCGTGAGGCAGTCTTGTGCCTTGCTGCTGTGTCCCGGCTGGGACACGAGTCAGCCCTTTGTCAGGCGCATCCAGGCTCTGTATACTGCCTGCCTGTCATCCCTGTGGGAAGAACGTCCTATATGTAAGGCTCACTGTATGTGTTAGTCACTCAGTCCTGTCTGACTCTTTGCGACTCCATGACTGTAGCCCGCCAGGCTCCTCTGTCCATGGGCTCCTCCAGGCAAGAATACTGGAGTGGGTTGCCATTCCCTTCTCCAGGGGATCTTCCCAACCCAGGGATCGAATCTGGGTCTCCTGCACTGCAGGCATATACTTTACCATCTGAGCCAGCAGGGAAGCTTTATAAAGTTCAGTACTATGTATTAATACTGTTGATGGATTCGGGCGTTCCCGAGGGTCTTGAAACGTATCACCTGCTGATAAGGAGGGGAGAGACTGCTGTATTTGGAGTAGTTCGTTAGGTGCGATAAATGATGAAATCTTACAGGACATTTGCTAACTGTAATTTTTAGGATTTGGTGGGGAAGGAGGGTGATCAGCGACATGGTGTTAGCCCAAGGACCTGTATTGACGGGAAGGCTAGATTTAGATGTTTGGTGGGTAACTGGCTGCTGCCTTTATTCCTTAATGGATCCCTAAAGATGGATAATAGAAGAAAAGATTGAGAAACAATGGTCTAGACTAAAATCCCACTGAGAATTGGAAACTCGCCTAACACACTGTATACCATGAGTGAATGACAGTTGCTCAGTCACATCTGACTCTTTGTGACCCCATGCACTATAGAGTCCATGGAATTCTCCAGGCCAGAATGGGGCGTGGGTAGCCATTCCCTTCTCCAGGGGGTCTTCACAACCCAGGGATCGAACCCAGGTCTCCCACATTGCAGGCACATTCTTTACCAGCTGAACCATAAGGGAAGCCCACTGTATAGCATTCATATGCGTTCATTCATTCATTCCACAAAGTGAGGAATGGTGTCCAAGAGGAAGGACCAGCATGCTCACGGATGCAGGAACGTGTGAAGTACTTGGAAACTCCGTGGTTCACTCTGGTTGGCGAGCAGGCTGTGAGGCAGGGGCAGCAGCGGGTGAGGGTGGAGAGGTCTGCAGGGGCCACACCTCGGAAGGGTCTTTGCTCAGCCCAGGAGCGTGGGCTTTCAGAGAAAGGGGAGTGAGTGGAGGGTTTTAGGAAGTGGCTGGAAGTCACCAGCTGTATGGAAGGTGGGGAGGAACAGACGGTGCACAGAAACCCGTTAAGAGGATTTTGTGAAAATGTGGATGACAGACAATGAGGTCTGTGCTAGGGTGGTAGAGGGAGATGTGTTAACTACTTATGAGGCAGAATTGACAGGACTTGGAGTTGAGGAGGAGGAAGGGAGGGGAAACTTGGAAGATTACACCCCTTTTTAGATTAGGTGACTTCAGGGATCTAAGTGATGTGGATGGAGCTGTGTGTGTGTGAAGGGAGAAAAAGGAATCAGATTTGTCCTTGAATGGGTTTTTGCTTAGTATTCAAATATATCTGTTTTCTGAGCTTGAATGACCCAATACATATACGTTAGTTTGGCGGGCATGGTATTAATTAAGAGAAAACTATCTGCTTTGTAGAGCTACAGCCTTTGCTTCATGACTGAATTAAAATTCACCAAGGTCTGTGCGTGGCTTACTCTCTGCCGCCTCTTAGCGGTTGAAGGTGTATTCAGCAAGAAAAAGAAGGGGAAGTGTTTGAAGTCTCTTAAGGTTTGGTGGCATACTCATGACCCTTAAAACTTGGCAGAAGTTAATGTGATCATATTGATGTGATGGGTGGCTATCTCAAAACATCTCGTTAGAATTTTAAGAATTTTTTCCTTTTTGATGCTCTAGCAAAAGTATCAGTAATCGTTGGTTTGACACCTCTGGGTGTTTTTTTTTTTTTTAACTAACATGTAACAATTTCTAGGTTTTTTTATGTTAATGGCTGTAAGATTATTGTTTAACCTCATTTCAATATAATTTTATCTAAGTACAGACAGCTAATTGACTAATCCCTCCCTCTTTTGTAGAACAGATGCTTTCCATTAACTGTTCGGTGGAGCCTTTTTGAAGATATTGTCTCCCTAAACGAGGGGTAATCAGTTAGCTTCTTAGAGTTCATAACACACATGATAATTTGTTTGTCATTGAACAAAATATGATTTCTCTTTGTATTTGCTTTTAAAATCTAGTGTCTTAATCAGCATAAAAGTAGAGATTCTTTTTTTAACACAGTAAAATACTTTTCTAGACAAGCTCCGAAGAAGTATGCCTAACCTAGCTCGGATGCCAAGTACAGCCACTGTTAGTAGCAATGGGAGTTCTCCAGTCACCGTGCGGAATAGTCAGAGTTTTGACTCAAGCTTGCATGGAGCTGCAAATGGAGTTTCAAGAATACAGTCTTGTAGTAAGTATGACAGTTTTTTTTGGTAATTCTTAATTAGTTGTAACACCATTAGGAAAATACCTTACTATTTCATTTTCTTTCTCTGAACACTACAGGAAACTTTTCTCCTTGTGACTTTTATTTTGTATTTCACCATTAAGTAGTATTTTCACCAGTGCCTATGTTACCAATTAATAATTAGCAAATTACGTGTTAGCCTTTATACCTAAGGATAGAAGTAAAAGCCCTGAATGGTGATTGCTCTCTCTGCTCATCATACAAAAGTGTTTCCTAGGCAGTCCTGCCTCTTTCTAGCTGTGCACGTCATGTGTTTACTCAGAGCAGAGCACAGCTGTTCTGTCCAGCTCTTACTGTGGTCTTGTTTTGCGTCAGTCCGTAGCTTTCCTGGGGCAAATGAAGTTCTGTTTCCGTGCGGCTGAAGAGTAGGGTTTACCTGCTTCATTGCAGTTTGCCCAGTCTTTCATTGTCTGTATGTTTTACCCAGTGATGAGCAGCGTGGTGAGAGTACAATCTAGCGTTTTTGTGTTCTCACTTTGTCTGGGGATGTCGTGGCTCCAGGTTCCCCCCACCAACTCATGCTGCCTGTGTGGGTAGTTGGGGTTAAGTCCAAGACTGACCGCTGGGAGGCAGGTTCAGGGCCACAGGCCCAGTATTGATATGCCCAGACCTGGAAGGCCAAGTATGTGGCCAGGCGCCGTCAACCAGATGTCTCCAGTTTGCACCCGGCAGACCAGTGGAGCCCCTGAGAGACCCCGGGTGCCGCCAGCACATGCTGAGGGTGGGTCAGAATTGTGGTTGCCGCCTGTGCCGTTCACTGTCACACTTATTGCCGCGTTTATCTTCCGTCCTAGCTTACTGGTTCACTCTGGGTGTGGACCGTGGTTCCTCTGACTTTCTGTCCGCAGCACCTGACTTGCTGCTGGGCACATTGAGCTCTCAGGAGCTGTTTGAGTGAATGTATAAATGAATGCTGTAGGGCTGGATCTTAGGGCTTCATCTGTTAACATTTGAATTAAAGGCTTGTGTAAAGACCCAGAAGATAGCCTGGGAACTGATGGTGGGAAACGGAGGATTGCTTTCTAGTTTATGTCAGGAGGTTAGGACAGATGGCCAAACACATCATGATGAAATTTAACTGAGAGAAAAGTTCTGTGCTTGAGTATCAAAGTCAACAGTATCAACATAGAAGGGGAAAATACAGTAGTGACAGTAGCAAATAGGCTAACAATTAGGAGTTTTTGTGAACTCTTCATTCATTGTGGATCAGTAGCACAGTTTGAGTGCCAGAAAAATGTATGTAACCCAAAATGGAACATACCCTACAAACAATGGAAAGTCTTGATGGAAGTCCTGAAAAAATGATGAGAGCATGTCAAAAGGATATAGGAAACAACTAGATGAAACTACCAGAGACCAAACTTGCGACAGATTGAGCCACAGAATAAATGGTTATATTAAAAGATTATAACCCATAGATTAAAATAAATAATCATAGGTTCATACTTAATTGAATAAATAAATGGAGTAGAGGGGAAATTCTTCTTTATAGAAGAATTGCAATTAATAAACATAAATGAAGAAAATAGAAAAATCATTGTGTGTAACTCAGCCATAATAATGAGAGAAAAACAAAAGAACTTGAGTGTTACTGTGTAAGAGGAGGTCAGTCATGAACTTGTTTCAGATCTCAGGACTCTGTTCTCATTGACTTTCATCCCTAAGTGAATATCCTTTATACATCATGAGTGTATATAAACATCATGCATGTATATAAACGTCATGTGTGTGTATAAACATCATGTGTGTGTATCATGCAGAGCTAGTTCTGGACTGCTGTGCCTTCTGGAGTGAACCAAGTGAGCAGAGAAAGTGGAGAGACAGCATGATACAGAGGGAAGACACTAGGTTTGCAGTCAACAGCTTGAGTCTGGGTCTTTCCTTAGTCATAAGTTCATGGGAAACTGTATCCTTTCTGATCCTTGTTTTCTCATTTGTAAAATTAGGATTGTGTCTATTAATCTTGACTAGTTTCTATTATTTCTTTTTAAACTCAATGTAGTTACCTATCTTGTGTGGGACTAATAGGACTGCCCTCCTGAAATAACTCTTCTGGAGTTTCATTTTAAATGATACACTTTTTGAAATTTCATTTAATCTGTAGATAAATTTTAGAATTGGTATCTTAACAATATTAGTTTTCTAATTCATTAACATGGAATATTCCCTCATTTACTTAGATCTTCTTAACTGTCAAAGTTTTGTAGCTTCCTGTGTAGAGGTTTAATACAGCTATAGTTCAGTTTATTCCTAACTATTTTATCTTAAAAATGCTTTTATGAGTAGTGTTTTTTTCAAATTTTAGTTCACTGATAATTTAGAAATGCAACTGATTTTTTTCTATTTTGATGTTCTGTTCATCAGCTTTGCTAACTTCATTTATCCTAAGAGTTATAAATTTGGAATGTACTTGTAATATAATACATCTGAACGCCAACGCATATTCAAGAATGTTCATAAAACCCCAGACTTAGAAGTAACCAAGCTTTGCATCATCAGGAGAATGGATTTTAACATACATTCTGTGGAATACCACACAGCAATGCAAATATGTGGATAAATCTCAAAAACATAATGTTGAGTCAAAGAAGCCAGTCAAGGAAGAAAACATACTCCGTAATTCCATTTACATGAAGTTCAAAATAGGAATAACAAATCTGTGGTGATAAAAGTGAAAGTAACAGTCACTTAGAGGACGTGTTGACTGGGAGAGGATATGTGAGAAGCTGCTGAAGCGCCGGCAGTGTTTGCTATCTTGATGTGAATATGGTTACATGAGTATGTTCGTGTCACAATTTCATTTCACTCTAGGCTTAATGTTTAGGTGCCTTTAGCCTGGCGTGCTACAGTCCATGGGGTTGCAAAGAGTTGGATTAGCACAACTTAGCTGCTAAACGATAACACTTTATATATATTGTGTTTCAGAAGAAACTGGGCCTGTACGTAGATACCTTTATTTGGACATTGAAAACCCTTTCAGACAGCATCAGCGTCTGTGAACATGACACGTGCAGACAGTGGTAAACGTGCACATGTTCTTTGTCCTCCTAGTTCCATCCCCAGGACAGCTCCAGCACAGGATCCACAGCGTGGGACATTTCCCAGCGTCAGCGCGGCAGCCTCTTAAAGCCACGGCCTACGTGAGCCCAACCGTCCAGGGCAGCAGTAACGCACCCTTAACCAGCAGCTTACAGCTATACTCCAACACGGGGATCCCCACCCCCACCAAAGCTGCAGCTTCCGGCATCATGGGCCGCAGCGCTCTTCCAAGACCTTCACTGGCAATAAATGGGAGTAACCTGCCTCGAAGCAAAATTGCACAGCCTGTCAGAAGGTGAGAGCCTTGGTCCGTTCTTCCTTGTAGCCCTGCTCATCGCCTGCAGTTAGAAACTGCTCCAGGCACCGCCCTGACGTTCCCTCTGTCTAACCCTGGTCGGTTCCTCTGCCCCTCTGGCCTGACTCGTGACCTTCTGCCTCTGGATTCAATATTTTTCACTTTTTTTTTTTTTAATCAGAATGGGCACAAATGATGTTAGGCATGTACACAACACACCCTTCTCCCACAGTCATGATTTAAAAAGCATCCTAGTGATATTTAGTTGGGGCTTTATTAGCTTATGTTGGGAACTTTGGTATGTTCCAGGTAGAATTTTTTAAACTCCACATTGCTTGCCGGGCACATGTTCAATAAGCTCACGGTCATGTTATGCCCTTTCTAAAGTGGATCTGCTGGAGTGTTTTATGGTTAAAAACAAGTCCATAAAAGTGAGTTGACAAATTAGATGATGCGGCAGTGGAGGCAGTAAATATATACAACTCTTACAAGAAATTAGTATTTGAAAGAGGAGAGGGAGGGGGAACCATGGTGACAGTTTGCAAAGGAAGTGGGAACAAGAAATTTTTCTTTATTTATGCATTAAGGTATGTATAGTTTGTATTTTCTGATGCTTAATAGGTGCTCAGATCAAAAGCAAATTCAGAAACTTTTGCAAAACAAAAGTAAATAATCTTACTATCCAGATAGAGATCACTTTTATGTATGGTTAGTTCAATGCAGGGCTGTCTTTCATTCATGACTGAATAAGAATCACATTGTTTGATGCATATATGTTAACTGTGGACAGTACATTTGTCCTGGGATGTCTGTCTTCAAACTAATCTGGAAAGGCTGTCATTGCCAAATAGAGGGTCTGGTTCCCCAAACTTAGGCAAACATTGGTTTTAATGCTTTTTAAAAATTCGCTGCCAACATAATAGGCAAATCTCTTGATTATTTGTAAGATTGAATACAGTAGAATTACATGAAGACGTTTTCAGTGAAGCAACCACTGATATTTTCAGGCCATTTTTCTATCATGTTGATCTTTCTCTGATTTTAAAATGCTCTTACTACACTTTAGGATATTGGTAATTTTCCAATTAAAAGTGGATCTGCTGGAGTGTTTTATGGTTAAAAACAAGTCCATAAAAGTGAGTTGACAAATTAGATGATGCGGCAGTGGAGGCAGTAAATATATACAACTCTTACAAGAAATTAGTATTTGAAGGAGGAGAGGGAGGGGGAACCATGGTGACAGTTTGCAAAGGAAGTGGGAACAAGAAATTTTTCTTTATTTATGCATTAAGGTATGTATAGTTTGTATTTTCTGATGCTTAATAGGTGCTCAGATCAAAAGCAAATTCAGAAACTTTTGCAAAACAAAAGTAAATAATCTTACTATCCAGATAGAGATCACTTTTATGTATGGTTAGTTCAATGCAGGGCTGTCTTTCATTCATGACTGAATAAGAATCACATTGTTTGATGCATATATGTTAACTGTGGACAGTACATTTGTCCTGGGATGTCTGTCTTCAAACTAATCTGGAAAGGCTGTCATTGCCAGATAGAGGGTCTGGTTCCCCAAACTTAGGCAAACATTGGTTTTAATGCTTTTTAAAAATTCGCTGCCAACATAATAGTCAAATCTCTTGATTATTTGTAAGATTGAATACAGTAGAATTACATGAAGACATTTTCAGTGAAGCAACCACTGATATTTTCAGGCCATTTTTCTATCATGTTGATCTTTCTCTGATTTTAAAATGCTCTTACTACACTTTAGGATATTGGTAATTTTCCAATTACGTTGCACATCTGCCTGTGCACACACAACACTTGTGGCAACGTGCTGAGAACTGGGTTTTCCTGCAGATGGGCATGTTGACGGCTGGAACCACAAGGCACATATGGGAAAGTGCCAGCACGCTGTCACTGCTGGGGCGGGGGCGGGGAGATCAGAGAGAGTGATGGGACTTGTGGGGTTACTTATAAGCCGTTTCCTTTTTTAATCCCTTCACAGTTTCCTTCAGCCTCCAAAACCTCTGTCTTCACTCAGCACGCTGAGGGATGGAAACTGGAGAGATGGTTGCTACTGATGCAGTTTTCTGTACCCTTGAGGAGTGGGAAAGAACTGGAAATGAGGGTCGTGTTACCCAGCTGGCTGGGTAACAGTGGGTGTCAGGATATTCTTTCCCTTCTGCATTTTAACACATTTACTGCATTGTTTTTCAATGGACCAATCACCAGAGACTAATTATTGCACTTAAATATTTGCCTGAGATACTGCAACGTTCACAGATCCACGGTTGCAGTATTGTGAGACTTAGAGCTAGGAAGTTTTTGTAGAACTGATAATGTACCTGAATCCTTTTTGAGAGAATTGAGATGTATCCATAATGCTTTCTTTGCCATCTGAGGTGTTTTTTTTTTTTTTTTTAACCTGTTCAATTTACTTACGTGTTCTAAACATCTTCCCATTACATATTCTGTATTTTAATACATTGCATAATTACAACTAGGTTATATAATATATGCTTTGAAATTTACTTTTTTATAGTTTACAGGAATTTTATTTTTTGTGCCTATTTCTTTTTACACCTATGTGAACCACTATGGAACAACTTAAATTTTGTGCCATAAAAATATTTTTGTGGTAAGGTACTATTTTTTTAGCTCTAGGGATATATCAGCAAAAATCCATCACACAATTGAGACATAATTTTCTGTTGAATGAGCACAATGTAAGCTGAAGCATTGCAAGGAGACAGCCAGACAGCAGCGTGAAATGGGTCTTGTTGTTTTCATTGTTAATTTATTGTCACTCCTGGCTTTCGTATTTATAATGGCATCACGAGCTCATTGCACTTAATACCTGCAGTGTTTGCTACTGTACCACAATTGATTTTCAATACTTTTACAGAGGGTGAAACTGTAACATTTTATTAACAATGCTTCTGGAAATGAATGCATTTTAAAGCAAATAAATCTTTTTGATAGACCTTTTACAAAATCCATTTGCACTAATGTATGCTTTCTTATGGGATATGACTTAATATTTGTTACTGTGTACACTGCTGTTTTGGAATGTTCAGAAATAAAGACTATTTCGGCAATATCAGGTCATGCATGAATGTGCAGCATAAATGATACCAACCCCACACCTATGTTTCACCGCAATTGTGAAAGTGTTGCGATGCTCTTGTACAGGTCGGTCAGACCTAAAGTGGGTAGGCAGAGTATTCACATTTGTAAACAACTGTTTCTCTCAAATGCTTGGTATAAGAGATGTGAGATTTTAGTTTTGTAGTGGGGTTTGGGTCCCGCATAGGAAGGTCACTAGAACCCAAAGAACCAGAAACCCATTCCTGGATGAATACTGTCAGTGGAGATGCCAATATTCTATGGGGGTTGAACTTGAAGTACTTTCTCAGTGTCAGTAAAACAGCAAGGTGTTATTAGTCTACACTTTATTCGCTATATATTGGAAAACTTTTTGCCAGAAGGTGCCATGGAAAGGTTAGGTAAAGGTTTTAATGCGAAGTTTTAAAATAGAGTTTTTCTGAAGTTATTTGAGATTTTTATTTTTAAAAAGTGTGCCTTCCTACATAGGTCCATGGAGAAAAACAGTGAAACTGACTTTTGAATCCAGGTGTATCTGATCTCAGAAGTCTGTTTTTACCACTACTGTGCTCTTCCTATGAACATACATAGTCAAGTCAGTACATTTAGTAAAAAATGAGTTTATATTCTACTGAGAAGATGAAAGAATTCAACTCATTTGCAAATCAAATATTTCATTTATATTCAAAAAAGTCTGTTCAGCCCTTGCAGTAAAAACCAAAGATCCCTGCACGTTGGAATTTACATTCCAGTTAGGAGAGAGATACTAAACCACGTACAAGTAAGTAAATTGCAATACGTTAGGTCTTCAGTGCTATGGCAAAAAAGGAAAAAGGAGCTGAACATAAGGGGAGTTGAGAGAACGGAGATGGGGAGAGATCACACTATTAAGTGGGGTCATCTGGGTGGATCTCACTAAGAAGTTGACACCTGAACAAAGACTTAGAGATGGAGGGTCAGCCCTAAAGCTATTTCACAGCCTCTTTCACCTGGAATTCTACTGAACACAAAATGATGTTGGTGGTCATTTTCGCAATTCTCCCTAGGGTGGTATAGAACATTTATTCTAGATGCATAGAAGAGAATTTAATGTATTACATCAATAGAGGTCCTAGGGTACAGCTTCTCAAAATGTGGTCCTCACACTAGCAGCATTAGAATCAGCATTTCTTGGAAACTTACTAGAAATGCAGATCTTTAAGCTCATCCCAGACCTATTGACTCGGCCCTCTAGGTGGTTTGAAGAGCCACCTTTGGGAAGAGCTGCTGGAAAGGAGGAAGCCACCTAGGCGAAGGCTTAGGACAGTGTACATCTCTCTGGGATGTCTGAGGAAGAGCAGAGAGGCCAGTGTGGCTGCAGGCAGAAGGACACGAGGGCCGTGGGAGACATGAGGTCGAAAGGAGACAGGGAAAGGCCTGTGGAGGGCATGTGGGCCACAACGGGGCTTTGACTCTGCTCTGGAATGGGAGCTGTTCATGGTTTTGAGCGGCAACGTTCATGATTTGACTTTTTTAAAGTATCACTCATATTTGGTGGGAGCAGACTAAGAAATGGAGATGCATAAAGATGAACTGTTCAGTCTAGGCAAGAGAGATGATGAGGAGCTAGGCCAGCAGGATAGCAGTGGAGGAGATAAAATGGTCAGATTCAGGCTACCTTTTAAAACTGTAGCTGTCAGGATTTTTTTTTGTGGAATGGATGTACTGTTAGAAACCAAAAGGAAAGCTCCAGATGTTTGGGCTGGCCACTAGAAGGATGGAGTTCCTCCAACAGAGATGAGGAAGCTGTGGGTGGGGAAGGTTTGAAAACCATGGTTCTCTGGCTGAGCTCATGGACACTCTGTATCTCACGTGCAGTCCTCACACTGGGTAATAAACCAGAACTCACATAGGAAAAGGGCTCCCGAGAAGCTCAGTTCTCCAACACAGGAGGGAACTGTGGTGCTGAGTGGAACTCAGCCAATCTAGCCCAGCTGACATCTGTACTAGTTAGCTATTGCTACATAACAGGCTTCCGTCATGGCTCTGTGGTAAAGAATCTGCCTGCCAGTGCAAGAGAGACAGGTTCCGTTGCTGGGTTGGGAAGATCCCCTGGAGAAGGAAATGGAACACACTCCAGTCTTCTTGCCTGGAGAATCCCGTGGACAGAGGAGCCTGGTGGGCTACAGTCAGTGGGGCCGCAAAGAGTCGGACACGACTGAGCGACTAAGCACAAAACAGCCTTATACTTTTGTGTTTTGCTAACTAGAGTAGTTTTGCTATCTTTTCCTTCAAGAGTGTCATGGATATTCTTGTTCCTTTGCATTTCCATATGTATTTTTAAATAAACTAGCCAGAAAAACACGCTGTTGGAATTTTGATGGGATTGCATTGAAATTATAATTCAATATGTTGGAAATTGACTGTTTACATATTGAATTTTAAAATCCTCAGTATGGTCTACCTCTTCTTTTATGGACTGAGGTATTCTTTAATCTCTCTCAATAAAAATGTGCAGCTTCTCCCCGGAGGACTGAAATGCCTTTTGCGAGATTAATTTCTAGGTATGTGATGTTATACTTAACGATATTTTAAAAACTTCATTCCTAATGGTTGGTTTCAAATGTTTTATTCAACCACCTTAAATGTATGTAAGTTATGTTAATTTATATTTAGACTCTTCATATACACAGTCAAATATGTGAATATTAGATTTCTTTCTTTCCTATCCTATATCTTGCCTATGATCTTCAATGAAGTATTACATGATATCAGCCTTTCTGCTAATTGAAAAGCTTTGTGGTTTTATCACTAAGTTTCAAATTTGCTAAGAGCTGTTTACCATAAAAGAATGTGAATTTTAACAAACTTCCTGCATCTATTAAAATGTGATTCTCATTTTTTTAAAATTTATTTTTAATTGGAGGATAATTAGTTTACAATATTGTAATGATTTTTGCTATATAACACCATGAATCTGCCACAGGGATACACACATCCTCTTCCTTTTAAACCTCCCTCCCACCCCTCCCCATCCCACCCCTCTAGGTTGTCACAAAGCATTGGCTTTTTGATTATCTCATTTAATCTATTAATATGATGACTTTATGATGGATTTTTCTAATGTTGAATCAACCTTGAATTATTGAGATAAATCCAACTTGGTCATAATGCATTATTCTTTTTTGAAATAGATTAATTTGATTTACTGATATTTAGAAATGTTTTGTCCAATTTTTGGAATAAAATTGTTCTATACTTTTTCTTTCTCAAACTGTTCCTATTAGGTTTTGGAATGAAGATGGTGTTAGTCTCATAAAATGAATTGGGGAGGACTTTGTGTTTTTGTAGCTGGGAGGATTTATTTAATATTGGAGTTATTTCTCCCTTACGTATGTGATAAATCTTAGTGGTAAAGTCACTGGGGCCTGGAGTCCAGTCAAGTCATGTTTTTAAAATCTGATGTTGTGTTTTTTTTTACTTCAAAGGCATGATTAAACCTCTTACTTTATCGGTGGATTATCTATATACTCTTTATAGTGCTGTCAGATTTTGCTGTATGTCTTCTTATGCCACATGATTTTGTGAGTACATATTTAGTATCTTTCATCTTCCTGGCAAAGTGAACCTGTTATCTTTGAACTAGTCTTCTTTATCTTTTTTTTTTTTAATGTCTTAAAAATCTATTTTTCAGATCTTAAATAGCTACATATTTCTTTTAGTGTTTGTATGATATAATTTTTAAACCTTTGCTTTCAGACTTTTATTAGGTTAAACAGCATGCAGTTCAGTATTTTTTAAAACCTATAATGAAAGCCTTTGTCCTTGAACTTGATCATTTAAGCCATTGTATATAAAATATTACTGACATATTTAGATAGAAATCTATCACCTTCTTATGAGTTTCATTTGTTACATCTATTCCTTCTCCCCCATTTTTGTCTTCCTTTGGATCATTTTTTCATTATACCTTTGTCTCTTATTAGTTTGAAAATTATACCCTTATCCTCCTTTGCTCTTCTTTTAGTGGTTAACCACGAAAATGACAATTTGCACTCTAAACCTATCAAATAATAATTTACCTTTATCATCCTCCTAGGTAACAAAAGGACCCCCCAAATCACCTTACATCTAATCCTTAAATTGTATGTGAAATTCATGATTCAGCCAGAGACTAGGGAGAAGAGACAATATTTAGATTTCGGGGACTCCCTAAAATTCAGAGAAATCAGACTTAGCCATGTAAGCAATGCAACACTGTATGATAAAATATATTTAGAGAAAGAGTGGTGACCAGACCAAGGGAATGATCAGCTTCTATAAGGTCAGTAATTTGATCTTAAAGCAGGTTCTGCGTTCGCTCAGCCAACAAATCCCTGAGGCTGTCAGGGTATCCCAGCCAACAAGTCAGTTGTGGTCTCTACCTTCATGGAAGTGACACTCTTGATTCTAGTGAGAGACAAATTCAAATTTAACAAAGACAACGTCTTTCCTACAAAGGAACAAGCAAGGAGCTCAGATACAGAATAACGGGATGGGAGGAGTGGGGAGGATGCTCCAGAAAGGCCTTTCTGAGAAGAGATTTAAGCCAGGGATGCATAGGAATTCATCAAATGAAGGCAAACGGGAAGGTTATTTCTGGTAAAGATGAAAAATTTGGCGTGTATACAGGGCCAAAAAAACGTTGGTGGGGCTGGACCTTAGTGGCCCAACTGGCTCTGTGCTTTGCAGGCTCAGTTCACAATGAACAGTGTGAAAACAATTACAGGATGGCCACAGTCCAGCACTAAACCAGCCACGGGGCCCTTCTGAGCACCAGGCTACGTGCCACTGCACAGATCCCAGGCCCGCAAAGCCAGCCCTGGCTGGAGAGAGCATGAGCTGGAGCATGAGCTGGTGGAACCTCAAGGAAGGGCTTTGAATTTTACTCCAAGTTCAATGTGAAGCTATTTATTAATAGTAACACTAACACTCATACTTCTCTTCCTATTTGCCAGGCACTCCATGAAGCTCTTT